TTAATTGAAGTTTTGAGTTTTATTAACACTTTAAAAAAAATCTCTCCTTCCTAGTATACTGTTCAAAAAAATCTTGAAAATTTACGGGACATGGATAAGGCATAAACCTTTTGGTTGAATGTAATTTTAAATGAAAAAAAAAATGATAATAATAAAGATGAAACATCAATTAATAGTGAAAACTACAGTGAAAAAACAGAGATCATAATTATCAACTGTCCTCGGAGCCAAACATCCCAATAGGAAAAAAGATGTGGTACAACTACATTGCTATGAAAGGGAAGAAGTCTAGAAGAAGCCATAAGGTACTGTATTTACTGTTTTGATGGAAAGTAACAAGTGGAGCAGGATGTGCCCCTGTGATGCATCTCATCACATGGTCACTATACCATCAAACAAAAATGTATGGCAACTGATTTTTTTTAAGGAGGGGTTGTGTATCTTTTTTGCAATGAGATTACCATATCAATGAATCATGATCAAGATTGGTAGGGACAGTGGGGTCCAACTTTTTATGCTCTATTTGAGCTCAAGATAGCACCACTGATTTGATCATACCTCATTGATGGGTCACTGTGGTTTGGTGCTCACCACTCCAGGGAAGGGTATGTTGGTTCCACCTATTCGTACAGTCACATCTATAGAATCATTTTACCAAAGTCTAGCCATGTATGTATCAATGAGCAGTGCCAACCTCTACTGAGTGCCCACTGTTTATTAAACTGTTAAAAAAGATAAAGATAATAAAATAATAGAAAGGAAAATGGCAGGTAACATTGCTCATGTAACAATTCTGAGTGGTTTTTTTTTACATACTTTCCCCAGACTACAAGGATTTTACTGAGCTTTTTTTTTTTTTTAATAAGGGCAATGGTTAGTAAGTTAATATTGTTAAATATTAGTAATTGAATATTCGATTTCTAGATCTGGTGAATAACTCACCGGTCTCAACGAGACGCGCGATCATCAGGCCGCTTGTGGAGTTCAAGATTTTACTGAGCTGAAGATATGTTAATGAGGTAATTAAAGTATTAAAAATGATAATAAATAAATTTTAAATGTCTTTAAAATTGTTTGAACAATATTAAAATTAACTTTGACATTTTAAATATTAAAACTTATTTTAATTTTAACTTTTCTCTTAGTAAATATAATATCATTGTTTTAATCATTAAACTTGAAAATCAATTATTAATAAATTATGTAAGATTTGTTAGTGTTAAACTGTTAATGAATCATAATTCATTCTATTGAAAATTTTTGAGATGAAATGAAATATTCCTCCCAAATTTAAAGAAAAATATTACTGAAAGGGTCTAAAATAAATTTTTGGTAGAATCCCCAAAGAAATAGGTGTCGTTTCAGCAAAAATAATACTTTTTTGTACTTAAATTACTAAACCTCAATTAAAAAAAAACATGAAAATTTTTTTATTAAAAATCTTTTAATAATTTTAGTTCCTAAATTATAAAACACAGCATGTTCTAAAAAAACACATTTCTGATTCCGAAATAATTTACTTTTCCCAATGATACAAGGGAAAAGTTCAGTACCCCGTTTCGGAAATAGAGTTTGGGTGGTCGGTGGGGCAAGAGCACTTAGCAAACGGATGAAAGGGTGTTGGTTTCGAGAGCTCAAAAAAAAAAAAACTATTACTGTGTCTCATTCAGAGTGCTGTGGACACCTTTCACCACTCTTTCACTCTGAAGTCGACGCCTGTGTGTATTGTTTGGCAAATCAAGAAGATAAATTCCGGGATTAACATTTTCTCATCACCTTTTCCCGGGGTATATATTAATTACCCAGTCAGTCTCCCTCTTGTTTGGTGCTGTTTGGTTTCCAAAACTATAAAAAGGGTTTGATTAATCTTGGTAAATCACTGGCCTATGCTCTGTTTGTACCTCCAAATAGTTTGTCCTTTTCATCTTTTTCAAATTACTGCAAAGAACTGTCAAACAGAAAATAATGAAACCCAAAGAGCCCAATGTGATGATAATAGAAAGTTAGAAAACAGAACAAATCATACACAAACAAGCTTGAGGGGGGAGTGTTAATTTAATTTCCATTCTCAGACACCTAAGCAAGTAACTCTCCTGCAGGAAAAGTTTTCCTTTTACATCAGATTGGCCAGTAAGAATTCCTGGAAAAAGCAAGATCTTTACTTTGATCCTGTAATCTTTTTCCCACCTTTTTTTCTCATCCGTTGCTTTTCAGTTCCGTCCATAGAAATCCCACTTTGAAATTTACAGCCCCACCATAGCTTCATTGAGATTACGTTTCCTTTTGAGGAAGGCAAAAACTTTATATTATATTTTCTTATTTTAGATTTTTTATTAAATTTTTAAGTTTTTATTAAAGTAAACAAGTTTATAAAATTTTGTATTTTAAATAATTTAACTCTATTTTTTATAATAGACTTAACCACTTATTTATGTAGGTAACTTATTAATACGTCACTGGTTACATAATAATATTAATCTTATTCACATAAATAAAATACAAAGATATTAAATTTATTATATAAAAGAAGATTAAATTACATAAATTACTTTGATTAAAAATTTATTTATTTTAATAAAAATTACATAAATAGTTTTTTAACTTTCTTCCATTTCAGTTAGAGTTAAAATATATATATATATACATTGACCCATGACGTCTGCATTGGAAAACCATCTATCTCTCTATTCTATTAAAAAAAAATAAAATTGGATCAATAAAGAATTATTTTGTGGGCCTATCGAGGCATAGGAGCCCAGGTGATACCCAGTTCTACATCTTCTTAATCCATTATAAATATCAACCCTAACCACCGTCACTCTTCCCTCAGTGAATTCAGCTCAACAACTCAATACCTTGTGTGCTGTTTTTTCTCTGCATTTTCCTTACAAACTTTGTCGCTTCTCTTTTTCTTCGAGATCCATTTTCCGTTTGTTTCCAGGGGAATCGATTTCATGGCTACCGTTCTAACTACCAGTGCAAGTGCACCGCCGAGCTTCTACTTCGACGAGAAATGGAAGCTGTCGAAGAAGGAAGGTTCCTCGAGGAGCCGGTCTTCAACTTCGCCATTCATGAAGAATTCGTCTCACAGACGGTGTTCTTTCACCAGAAAATGCGCACGATTGGTTAAAGAACAGAGAGCTCGGTTCTACATCATGCGCCGCTGCGTCACCATGCTCATCTGTTGGCGCGATTACAGCGATTCTTGAATCAAAAAACAAAGAGGAACCAGAAAGTGAGATCTAAAGAGGAAAAACTTTTCTCTCTCTTCCTGCGAGAATCCAGATCATTTTGTCTTCTAGTCCTCTCTTTTTTTTCTTCTTCTTCTCGGCATCCAAACAGGATGTTGAAGAAATTACATACTTGTACATAAAGCTTAACTAGCTTTTTTGAGCGCTTGAATATGCCTATTACCTGTTTCGCTATCTTGTATTTGGAAAATAGGAAGATTAATATGATAGAAATATATCCAATACTGCTTGAAATTACTTTGGCTCTGTTTTTTCTTCTGGTTTCTTTCTTCCTCCATGGCTGAGGAGAGACCTCATCACATCTCTCCAGAAGTGTAGAGAGAAAGAGAGAGAGAAGATGAACAGATTCCATTCAAAGCATTCAACTAGTGCAGATGAGGTCTGTATGGATCTGGGATGACTGCCTGACACTGGTTATTATTTTAATTAGTTTTTTAACATGAAATTATTAATTTTGGACGTTGAATTTTTAAATTTGTTCCAAAAGAAAATATATCAACGTGGGGAGCGAGAGAATTGGTGACTGGCAATCTATCTCTTTGGATACCTCCATGCCACAACCAGATGTGCCATTTTCTCCTCTACATTGCACGACTATTTTTGTACTTGCAAAAAATAAATTTCTCAGTATAGGAAATGCTTTTTATTTTTTATTTTTCTAGTCCACTCTTTACACTTGAAAATATCAGTTTGAGGTCTCATAAAAAATTTTCAGTTAAAGGGAAGGGAAGAACACAAAAAAAAAAAAAACCCTTTCACCATGTTTAGTTTGAACTTTGAAGAAAATAAAGGGGAAATGAAGAAAAATTAATGTAATTAAATTATTTCGTTTAACTTAATTGGTTAAAGATTAAACTACCTCTCGTTTCCTCCCCTCTTCCCATTTTTTTTTTTAATTAAATTTATTAATGACATTTTTATCTCTTTGTCATCCCAAATTAATATTTTTATTTTTAATTATAGTTTGCCTTCAAAACAGCCATATTCTCCTCCTTGTATGTGAAGTTCAAACTGCTACCAATTTTACCGATAACTAGAGAAGTAAATAAATGGGCACGATTTTCTATGTTATGATCAGTCTAAATGACCATAGTACCCAGCAGTACTCGGTCCTTTGACTGGGTCAGGGACCACTTTTTTGACTCCTTATGGCTTATGTAGGTAGGGGGGTACATTCGTACATTTATGGGTCTGCGTTGTCATTCCTATTCTTTTTGTATTTTTTTTACAGTCAGAAGTTTGGATTTTTACCCCAGAGCCTCTTTCTTTGTTTGATTAGAGGCCAATCTTATCAGAAAATTTTCTCAGAAATTTTATTGAGAAGGTGATCTGAAAAATATTGTATGAAAGATTAATAAATATCATATAAAAATTGATAAATTTTGTAATAAAATTTTATTAAAATTTTGTTAGGATAGTAATTTTTTATATTTAGTAAAAAAATTAATATGAAAAAAATTAGTAAAAAAGTTTTTAATAAATTCAATGTAGAAAAAGTTGGGAGAATACTTTTTCTCCTTCACAATATGTCCAAAGAAGCAACGAGATGTTGGATCAAGTGATAAGCGGTTTGTTTCAATTTAAGTAAGATCTCAAGTTCGAAACTTTGTATACGCAGTAACCTTCGTTGGAAGACCCACCCACCATTCTGGTGCGCCACAGCTAGTCGAATCCGAAATAGTCGGGACGAAACCCCGAATACCGGGCGGGAAACAAAAAAAAAAATGTCCAAAGAAAATTTTATGAATTAAGAATTAAATTAAAGAAAATAAAAATATATCAATTTTACCTAATTTTATTATAATATTAATATATAAAAATACATAAATAGTTTTATAAAAAAAAAACTTTTCCAATCAAACATCCCCCAAATACAAACATATCTTAGAGCGTTTGATTTATATAATTTTATCTGTTTATAAATTGTTTTAATTAATTAACTATGATATTTAAAAACATCAATTTATAAATTAATTCTAAACTGATATCTCAATTGTTCTTTTTAGCCATGGGCTACCGCTAACAACCAAAATAAATAGAGCGTTTGACTAATGGCAAAACGACTTGAGAAGGTGGTTGGGCACCTTAAATCTCAAAAAAAAATTAATAAAAGAAGCATAAATTAAAGTTGTAGAAGAAAAAAAGTGTCAAATGCGTTTCCTAAATCTTATTGCACAAATAAAAAAAATATTTTTATTGATATTAATCTTTCTATATCTCATAATTATATTAAATTTTAATTATTTTAAAATTGAATCACATCAAATTTTATATTAAAAAAAACTTTCTCAACATTTATTTTTTTATTCATATAACGATATGATTGAATGGAAAAAGATATTCCCTTCCATATTTCTTTGATTTCGCTACTGCCTTTAACTTTAAGAATATATTTTTAACAACTTAAGTAATTATTGAAAGAAAACTTTGTTTTACTATTTATATTATAAAATAAAAAATGTTAGATTTGACAGTGTAAAATGTTAAAAATTATGTCCCTATTTTATAATTTAAATTATGATTGGTAATTTTTAAATATTTACTGTAGAAGTACGTTTAACAGGTGGAGGTTTTTTTTTTTTTTAATCTTTTAGATTTTATAATTTTCACCCATTTGTGAAAATTTTTTATAATTCTTTTAAAAAAAATTTACGATCTAACACTTTATCAAAACTTCATTCGTACAATATTTCTGCAGAGCAGCCAGAGCTCTTTATAAAATATCTGGAGTTGGCAAAGGAGTAAATGAATTGTTGTTGGAAGGGGTTTTTTTTTTTGGTCAGAATGTTTGATTTACAGCTGGGTTTTGGGTTCCCCTGTTGCATAAACTGTGGGCATATGGAGTGACGTTGTGATAAATCTTTTTTTTTTTTTTCTGGGTAGAATGTTGTGAAGAATCTGACCACCGGTTATAGTAGTAAAATGGTAGGAAGCCTTCGGAAACCATAAAGCTTCAGTGCCAAAATAAGCATTCTACAGTAAACTATTAATTTCCGTGCCCAGTCCTGTAATAAAAAAAAAAATTCATATTAAAACAGGAGTCATTTGATTGGATGCTCGTTCTTATTGAATGATCAATGTGTAACATAGTACTTACAATTTAAATTGTATAATATATTTTTATTAAATAATTTATGATAATTAATTTTTGTATTGCATAAGTAACAATAATTGATTTTTATTTTTTATGTAAAGATTAAAAAAATTAAATTTTAAATTTATAATTAAAAATACAAATAACTATATTACCAAACTTATATAACTAATGGCAATAATAATTGATTCTTTTAGTTTGTTAAGTTAATTTTCCTCTTGGTGATTTCTTGTTTTCTTTCTATACTAAAGTCAAACAAAAAAAATTGCTTTTTCACTTTTATAGCTAGGGAATCAAACAAACATCGGGGAGGAGTGAATCAAAGATCTTGAAACCACGATTAATTGATTGAGATACTTTTTTGCCTTTTAAAAAAAAAAAATTGATTGAGATATTAGCTCGGCGTGCTAGAGGGGACCCCAAAAATGGCATAGAACAAAAGGAAAGAAAAGAAGAAAAAACAAGGTGAAGTAGAGATCGACTAGAGAGGTGATACAGACAGAATAGGTCCAACAAAGAAAGTGGTGGGAGAATATGTCCACCCCCACAAAATCTAGATTCTGATGATTAAATATCTTAATTGGAATTATTACTCTCAACATAACAATGATTAACGTCCTTGCCTTCTCTTACCACTCCTAGATGATTGTAGAGTGCTAAGAAATAGTGGTGCCAATTTTCCATTGGGTGCTTTTAATGATGGTTTATTTGGTCAAGTTTTGACCAAAACATGGACATGGAAATTCCAAATCTTACCTTTATTTGCAAAAAATGATTTGTGCAATCTTAGCTTTGTGAGCTACTATTACGTACTCGATATGTACATTTGCTACACTTTGCATTTGCTTGTAATTTGTTTTAATACATTGATTTGTTTTAATACATTGATTTGTTTTTCGTATTAACTTTTTAATATCTGAAAGTTATGTTGGATCCCAATTAATTGAAATTGAGTCATGTTGGACCTTACAAGGAAGGAAGCTCTTTAACACATGTTTCTTCATTCACAAGATTTGAACTTAAGACCTTTACTTAAAGATAATCAAATTCTTTTTACTTAAATCAATAAATCGTTGATTATTTTAATACACTGATCTTGTTTAAGAACATTAAAACAATGGTGGAATCATCTTAATATCATTTTATTGATGGATTAGTTATAAGAAAGAAATTCACTAATGTATTATTATTATTATTTCACCTAATAAGTTGATATCTTAAACAAAAATTGTTATATGGTTTGAAATGTACTAAATTATGTAATTTAGATTATTACATGAGAAAATGAATTTCTTAATATTAAGGTGTAATTTCTTATTTAACGATTTTTGTTTTAAAGTTTGAATTGTAAAATAAAAATTTTTATCTTAAAAACTTGAAACTTGTTAGTTTTCAATGAAAATTAAACTATTACTAAATTCTTGTGGTTGCTATAGTCTTTTAGTATTTTGCTTTATCATCGAATCAAGACCTCATAATATTTTTTTTTTTCCTCTTTTTTTTTTTATTTCTTAATTTCTTAAGTTAAAGGTGTTGCTTTGGTTAGCTAGGGTTGCTAAAGATGGTCCATGGTCTGAGACACTGAGGAAAGCCAACAGTAGATCCCCAAAGCTTGTTACAATTTATTATGGCAGCATCTCCACTTATGCTTGGTTTAAGAATCCCTACATTATTTATGGTCCAACCCCAAGGACTCTCCAAACAAAAGGCCTAATAAAAGCCTCAAACCAGGCTTTTAGGCTTTTAGTTTTCGTCCCCTACAAACAAAAAAGATTTCAAAAAAAAAGAAAAGGCCCAATGGTGGGCCCAAGGCAGAACCCAGAGGAATCATCGTGAAGTGAGGACAAGATTTTCAAAGTTAAAGAAAAAAGGTAGGGGGGGTCAGCAGTTGGTCAACGGTCACATCAAACTGCGAACAACATGATAAACGCCTGGAATTTTCTTTTTTTTTTTTAATGTTTTTTTTTTTGGGTTTCTTACCGGTATCCGGGGTTTCGTCCCGACTAATCCGGACCCAACTCGGGTCGTGCACTTGAAAATGGTGGGTGAGTCTCCCAACGAAAGCTGCTGCATACGCAAGAACTCGAACTCGAAATCTTACTTAAACTGAAATAAACCACTTACTACTTGATCCAATCCCTCGTTGATTTTTTTTTTTCTAATGTTCCGACATGGCACCTGCTCGTTGGGCAGTAAACCTTTGGTGTGTTCATACCTCTGTCTTGCTTCCGGACAAAACCCGACCCCACCGTCACCATTTCACGAGGGGGTGGGTTGTGGGCCCCCAAGTCATTTTTGCTGGGTCCCCAATGGTAGACGCATCGAAGGGATTTATTTTGATTTTGATTTTTGTTTTTATTTTGGTAAATTGCATTGATCTGTTTAATTTGAGGTTAAGTTTTTTCGATTTATATTTTATAATTTAAATTATATTAAATTATAACTTAATATTATTAGATGAAAATAAACTCTAATATTAGGGAGTTTATTTTATTTACTTATTAATTTCATATAATTTGAACTATATAACATATTTTTAAAGTTTTTTTTCATATACTTTTACCGGGAAATATTGTATACAAACTAAAATGATTCTAAAAGCCTGTTTTGATTAAAGGACCCATTTTATTAGAAAAAATTTTGTTAAAAAAATAACTAGAATAATATTATATAAAAAGTTGACAATTACTATATAGAAAGTTAATAAATTCTATAATAAAATTTTAGATTATTAATTTTCTTTATATTTTATAAGAAATTAGTACAAAAAAGTTGACAAAAAAATTTGTTAAATGAGTTTTAAGAAAAGTTAAGTAGAAATTTTTTTCTTATATAAGAAGAAAAGTTTATAAATTGAAAATTGTGTTATGAAATATAATAATTAAAAATTTTATTTTTACTTTTTTTATTATAATATTAATATATAAAAATATGTAAATAATATTATAAATAAGAAAATTTTAGAATAGTTTAAAGAGAAAAGTAACTTGTTAACCAATATCTATATCCCCCTAAATATATTTCTTATACGGGACAAAAGTTACTGCTAAGATTCAGAACCAAACACCTAATAGAGCTGGATTTTGCCCAGATGAGTCGCTTGTTGTGGGGCAATTATTGGGGTAGAGGGGTCCTCCACAAGGGACATGGCCACGACTCTAATTACCCTATCAGAACACTCAATAGGACTGCCTTAATTGAACATGAACATTCAATGTTTGGACCACATTCCGCAAATTCATTGCACTTGGATATGCTACAACCTTTTTACACGAAAATGGCATTCTCATTAGGTGAAAAGTCTGCAATGTTATCAATTCATTAGCAATTGTCTTGCATTATTGTTTATTGATACTGAAACAACTTCGATGAACTGTCATGACACATGAATTCCTCGAATCAAGAAAAATCATTTTGATGTAATTTTCTTAAATGTCAAGTCTACTCAAACAAGTGTACAATTTACATAAAATTATTAACAGTTAATTTTTAAATTTAATGATATTATATTCAATATATAATATAAAATTTATGTACAAATGCATCTCAACCCTTATCAACGGTAAATGAAACTCTTATAACCTATTTAAAATCCTTCAACATAATTAGTGTTTTTTTGGTTGAGATAGTCAAGGCATTCTCGAGTCAATTTGTGTACACATAAATAATAATTTTTTCTCAAGTGATTTTAAGGTTTATATTGGGTTAGTGTTCTCCGAACTTAAATTTTAAATACCAATTACTTAAATAATTTAGTGAGAATCTATTTCCGTCAAAAGTAAAAGATCATAAGTTTCAATCATATGGCAATAAGGGATGAGAGAGAGTTATCTTTCATTATACAACCAACATAAAAAATAAATAAATAAAGAAGAAAAAACTTAAAATTTAAACTTAATTCTTAATTCATATAATGATGCTCATTTACAAGTGAATGTAATGATAAAGGATCCAATTTCATTGGCGGGAAGGTGATGTTGACTTGAAATTCTGGACTAGATCTTCTGTAATCAAAGTCAAGGCCCAGTAACCGGGTTCCATCAACCAACAGGCCTACTGATCCACTAGACTATCGGACCAGGCTTTTTCTCTTCCCCCGCCCGTACCAATAACACGACAGACAACGTGGGTGGAAGCCCGGTAAGGAAACGGAGCCATCCGGCCCATTACACAACCAGTTCGGCCACCCCACGCGCTGCAACCGCTCGTGGCCGTGGCTTCCTCCTCGCACAGATACAAAACCAACTCGCCGGTGTAGAGAGAAATCCACTTTGACGCTTATGGCCACCAGCATCCACGGCGATTCCTCTCGAAACATCCTTCCCCGCCGCAGCAGATTGCACGATTTCTCGGTTGCGCCTCCGATCCTCGCCGTTCTCTTTGAACCGGGTAAGTTAATTAAAATCATCATTTCTTATTAGCTTATGGAAGCAATTGAATTCTGAATTTTTTGATTCGTTCTACAATCCATGATTTTCCTGAAACGGAATTCTGCAATTCGTTTGATTCTCTATTGTTTTGAATTAAATTTCTCAGTATAAGAGGATTTTTCAGATTTTATTTGAAACCCTAGGTTTTAGATTACAGTGAACTATCAACATGCAGAATTCATTCTACGTCATGGTGTCAAATTATTTGCCTTTAAACAGCTTAATTTAGCGTCTTAAATAATTCAACACGAAGACTTGTGATGTAAACCTCAATGGAGATCTGGTGAGAAATAAGTTCAAGCTAATTTAATAGCTTTAATAATGTTAAGAGGACCGGTGCGGCTTTATAGCTGATTTTTGTTTGCAATCAACTTGAATGCTCAAGGTTTTGTGGGGTTGTGAGAGGGTCTTAATTGAAGTTAGGTGCATTTTCCTTAATTTCCTTACCATTTTGCCATTCTGGTTGGTTTATTGCTTGAAGCTTCGTTAATGAAAGTGCACCTATGAGGTTTAGACTTTAGTACTTAAGTTTTATTGTTTTGACATGAACTGTGTTTCATATGTAAAAATGCTGCCTTTTTCACATTCCATGTTTCTATGTCAAATCAGGCTATTAAAGAGCCAACAAGCCATGGCTGATGTAGTTGATTTAACTGGTGATGGAGGTGTCCTCAAGAAGATCTTGAGACAAGCAAAAGATGGTGCTCTTGTTCCTTCCCTGGACCTTCCTGTTGTAGATGGTTTGAACTTGTGGCTTGCATATATTGTTTATTATTCTTTTCTTTGCTGTTTATAAGAATTGTTCTTTATTTCTTCACATTGAAGTGTATTTTGGAATCCTACAAGTGTAAATTACCAAGTTAAAACCAGAGTTGCATGTTCTGTGAGTTTTCTCTCCCCATACATTGTTTAGATTTTCAAACGTATTAGTTTCTCTCACTTCTCTTTTTCCTGAACTTAAAATCAGAAATTTCCTTAAGGAACGAGGTATGCCTTAGCTATAACATCATCATTTCATTTTTCCCCCTAAATTGTTTCATTTTTCTCTTTAAGGAATGAGATTGTATAATGCTTGACCAATGATGCTAGGTAATTTGTCAATTTTATCAGTCAGTGCTACAGCAGGACCCTTAGTTTGATATGACTAAAGTAGCTTATTTGATGTTGGCCAGTTCACTATGAAGGCACCCTTGCTGAAACTGGTGACGTATTTGATACTACACACGAAGATAATTCTGTTTTCTCTTTTGAGATCGGAAAAGGCTCAGTCATCCAGGCTTGGGACATTGCTCTGAAAACCATGAAGGTCAAATTTTGCTTTCTTCATGCCATTTTTTAAGCTATTTGCGTTCCTGTTACACATTCTTCTTGATGTTTCAACAGGTTGGTGAAGTTGCTCAAATAACATGCAAGCCAGAATATGCATACGGCAGTGCAGGCTCTCCACCTGATATCCCACCCAAGTATGCCTTTCTTCTGTCATGCTTATATGTTTGAAATTTATTGTATTGACTGCCTAGATAGCGAAACATGAGATCTCTAATTGACGGCACAATGGGAGAATTTTAGAGTACCATTTCTAGAGGATGAAGCCATGACCTATTCCAGAACTAGGCAATCCTGACATTAATGATTGAGCTGAAATTGCCTGCTACCATGGAATGGATTTTACCCCAATTAACTTACATTCATGTTGTTTTATGTCTTTGGTGTAGTGCAACCCTTATTTTTGAGGTGGAGCTACTATCCTGCAGGCCAAGAAAGAGTACTAGCCTTGGTAGTGCTACTGAGGAGAGAGCTAGGCTAGAGTAAGTCCTATTTGCTCACATAATTTTGTTGTTCCTCTTTTGAAATCTGGAGTCAAATCTGCCAAAGGTTTTTTGTTCATTGTATTATTTGATCTACATTATATGTAGAAATATAATGCCTCATTGTCCCCAACTTGAATCAGAGAACTGAAGAAGCAGAGGGAACTTGCTGCTGCTGCTAAGGAAGAGGAAAAGAGGAAGAGAGAAGAAGCCAAAGCTGCTGCTGCTGCTCGTATTCAAGCCAAGCTAGAAGCCAAGAAAGGTCAAGGAAAAGGGAAAGGCAAAGCGAAATAACAACTTATAAAAACTTTAATTTTTACAAACGATCCTATTTGAGTGATTAGGTTGAGCAATAAGATGCAACCTGACTAGTCCAAGCCTTTATGGTTAGTCAGAGACATTTCACTGTACAAAGGATCCGATGCTACCTTTTTATTCTACTTCATAATTAGCATTTATAATTATCAACAAACTCAGCTCCTTTTGCAGGTTATTGCTCCTCGAAATGAATGGCAAAGACTGATATCTTGACATAAATGAGACATCCGCGCACACCTATCACATTCACGTTAAAATTTTCTAAAAATCTGAGAATCAGAGGCAAACTTTTGGCGTAAAGAAGGGACAAAAACAAGCTTGTCATCCAAAATTGATTCAGTCAAGTTAGTCAACTATTCCTTTGGTGTAAAAATGGGGCAAAAAGCCCACTCGAGCACGACACTTCGGTCAAAGACACAATAACACGTGATTTCCAATTGTAACTTAATTACTTAAATAACACAACTATATGACTTGCTATGTGATCACACAAGTTTCAGCCACTGGATGATCAAACCAATGCCAGAAATAAGTTAAAAGATTAGATGTTCATGTTTGATCTATGAGCTTGTATGGGCGGACAGATTGTTAGATACATTGATGAACCGGCCTGTTAAAAAGGAACTAAACCCTGTATGAAGCATCCATTCCATCCTGTGCAGATTCTTGCCATACAGATGCTGCTCTGAATTTACAAACAGGGCATGTCCCTTGTTGCCGCAACCATGGGTCGATGCAATTAGCATGGAACTGGAAGAAATAGCATCATTGTTTAAATTTTCAACTCTAAATTCTCCCAATATTTATGTTATGGTTAAAACAACAGAAAAAGTGAGGGAGAAATTTCTGAAAACCCAAAGCCACTGCAATAAAAGGCTCACCTGATGCACGCATGGCAAACTACGAACAAGGTCCCCAACATTAACTTGCTCCAAGCAAACACTGCAGGTTAATTCATCGTCTGAGCCTTTCATGGTCCCCACTGCATTACTGTGGTCCTGCTTCTTCTGCAAGAGAGGATTAAGTTAAACAAATTATTAACAAAAACAAGACTTAAGTTTGCCACTTGAGAAGATGTAGTGGGAACTAATACCTGAGAAGATGTTGAAGAAGAGGCCTGTTGCATTGAGGAGTCACTACAGTCACCAAAATCACATTCTTGTCAAATATTCAACATAAAAATTCACTTAGGGATACAAGACTCTGTACAAGGAAAACTAGTCCAATTCAACAAAAGTCCAACATGCAAAGAGAATGAGATTCAATTTTTGAAGCATATGCACTAAAAAAAACAAAAGAAAGAAAGAAAGAAAAAAGAAGAGGAAGAAGAAAAAAAACACTTTATATTAACCTTTGAGGAGCAGGAACCTTGTACTTGTGAACAGGAAGGGCATTAATCTCTTCCTCACTCATTGAGGCGGTGGGAACATTGTCAGCATCAAGTGCTCTTAAAGTTTCATAATCTGAAAACAGATAAAACACTTACCAAATTAAATAGAGCAAGAAAATGAAAGAAACTTTTTAGCACAGTTTCCTTAAACACAGACCCCACAAATCTATTAGATAGCCCCTACTGTGTAAGCACCATACCTAGGTCATCCAAGTCACGATCAAGAAGTGCAAGTTGCAACCTGAGACCTTGTAGACGCCCTCTGGTTGCAAGTGCAATGGATGGTGGCATGTGCAACCGCAATTCAGTATGGCCTAGAAGGCCACTGGCTGCTGTAGCATGAGCCTGGGCCTGAGCTTGAAGTTGTTGGCAGGTGGCATACATCCTTAAGGTTGTGGCCATCAAAAAGACACCAAGCACTAGCCAAATCTACAGAAGAAGATTAACATTAAGACCAGTTATATGGCTCACAAAGAGTTATAGTCCAAAAATATAAACCAAAAACACCATGGCCCAAAATACGCAGAGAAAGAAAATACCAGAAAATTAGGTGACATTTGGTGTGAGTTCAATATCATGAACAGCAAGAGTACTATTACATAAAACAAACAAGAATTTTGTCAGAATATAAAACAGTAAGCAAAAAAAGAGGGGAACTAATATCAAGGAGAACAATGTAAGTACCAGTGACGAGAAAAGCAAGAGAGTTTGAATGAACAGGCCGTCCACCATGTACACGCTGATAGACAGTAGACTTAACATCAAAACATAAAGATTGAAAATGATCTTACAATGAAAAATTAGATGTGATGAAATATGTCTTGACTACTAGTGACATACCACCGCACGCCTCTCAGGAATAAATCCTGGAAATCCACCCTCTAAATCTGCTCTATTCCCTCGGAATACAAAACTCATGTTTTCATACACACACAGGCAATGAACGAAAGATGAAATCACCAGACCTGTGAGTCTGGTGGAATGACTTGAGCTCTCAAAGAATCTGCACACAAGTCAAATCCACATTCTTAATCCATCATAGCCCAAATAAGTTACTTAACCTTACCATAAATAAGAAACTGCATTGCCAAAACCAGAAAATTACAGCAAAATTCAGAAAATAAAAAATCTAATTCTAAAAGCAGAAAAAGAAAAGGAAGATTAATCTAAAAGGCACCTGCTTAGATGGTCTATTCAACAAGATCAAAATTTTCCTATCTTCTTCTCCTGAATGAATAGAATCCGGTGCCGGATTAATTCCGCCTCCAGGGAAAGGAGTAGCAGCAGCAGCCTCGTCCAAACACTATATTCAGAATTCAGAAATTACCTCAAATCAGTTTCTGGCTACGATTCTCAGATTCAGACAAAATTTTCCCCCAAAATAAATGAAACTTAAACCCTATTATCTTATTGTTTGCGAAAACTTAGTAATAAAGCTGCAGATTAGATCGGATCTAAAAATTAAGACGTTTCGAGCGCAAAGAAAAAACGTACATATCGAAATAACTGAAGAAAGTAAATGGAAAACCGGCGACTTACATGGATCTGAGCAAGGACGATCGATCGTTTTCCAGGATCTTGAGGTTGTTCTGGAGAAGATGAAGGTGAGTTAACTCGGTCGCGTTAGGCTTCCCTGCCTAACGCTCTAGCTGTGAGCTTGAAGAATTGTCCATGATGAAGTCTAAACGGCAAACAATGAATGCACACGACACCGTTTCAAAGCGCCTCTATTTCCAGTTTTTGGGATCTTAACTCCATGCAGCTGATTTTTAAAAGTATATTTGATTTAAAAAGATGATTTAAGATAATTGTTTGTATTATTTTTTGTAATTTTATATATAATTTAAGTGGTTAATTCTTTTTATTTATTTAAACTTTATAATATTAAATATTTTTACTCATTTAATGGTACATAAAAATCATATAAAAAATTATCTTTATATCGTTAGATTTTTGATTTGTGAAAGGAAAATATATATATGTGA